GGGGGGGGTGGGAATGAAACCCTTTACTGGCTTGGCCTGGCCCGCTGGAACTGAGCACAAGCCAGCTGGGCTCTGCCAGAGACCCAATGCTTCAATCTCCAGTTGCTTCCCGGATCCCACTGGGAGGTGGGAATTGGAAAGGGCAGCAAGCAGCCAGTTTCATCTCAGCGGTGCCCTCAGAAAACAAGAAGGGACCCTTTTTGCTGAGCAGGGTTCTGGGAGAGCTCAGAACTCTCCCGTTTGGCTCTTTGTTTGGTTCCTCCAAGCAGCGACATATGGGAACAATACGCGGTTTCGCACGGCCCCAAGGAGTTTGGATAGTGAGGAATGGAGTCCATGGGGAAAGAGGGGATGGCAGGCCCTGTGACTTGGGCAACTTGACAGCTTAACACACAGCAACAGGAACCGCGTTCTCCCCCGGCTCGGCGGCAGCCCCAGGATGCGCCCCACAGGGCATTGTCCCTTAGGGGTCATTGCGCTCCAAAGGCGGCCCCGAAGGATGCTCGGAGCGGGCAGCAGGAGCCAGAATCACGAGAGGCTCTGCCCTGACTTTGCTCCATCAGCCATTGCCGGGGCTGGGCTGCCTCTCCCCTCCACCCCCCTTCCTCTCGGCTGCATCTCAGCCCATCCCAGCGCCGTTATCCCGGCTGGCTGCGCCGAAAAAGGGGAGCGGAGCCGGCCCTGCTCTTTGTTCGAGCTGCAACTGGGAAAAGCTCCAGGATATCCACCCGCACAGCCGGAGATGCTCACCTATTCACACAGGCGGGGCAGCCTTGAAGTTCGTGCTTCAGGAGGGACATTGCTGCGAGGCACGTCTTGGGAAGACACCCCCGCATCCCGCTCCCAACCACAACGCGGCTCAGCGCCGTGCTCCCGACCGCTTTTCAACCCTTATATCCCCCAAAAACCTCCAACTTCCACAGCTTACCCTGCCACACGCATCACCCCCCCAGCCCCCAATTTGCTCTCTAACGCAGGGCTGGCGAGGGACCGGGGGACCTGCGGGAGAGGCGATGGTGGCGGGAGCATCCCCTTCCCTTACCTCTCTCCACGCACAGCACCGCGGCCAGCACAGCGAGCAGGAGCGCCTTCATGGTGCGGACGATGTGGCCGGAGACTTGCGCAGGGCGGCTGGAGGAGCTCAGGGCTGGCGGCAGGGCCGGGCGCCGGGGGTGGGGAAAGGCCGGCGGCTCCGCCCCGCGGGCCGGGCCCGGCCCCCGCGCCGCCTCCCCCCTCCGCCTCCCCGGCCCCGCCTGGTTTCGTTTCCCCGCTAGGGAGAACCGGGGCCGGGAAAAGGGCGGTAAGAAGAGCGTGTCGGCACGGTAGCGGCTGGCCGAGGGGGAACAGAGCCAGCTTTCCCCTAGCCGTGCCCCAAGAGGCTTCTTCCAACCCCCTTTCGGGTCCCCTCTGTTTCTCTGAAGGAGGAGACGGGAGTAGGGGGCTGCCTCTATTCTGGACCCCACTCATCCAAGTCCAATCCGTCCGACTCAGCTTATTCTGGGATTCTGTGATTCTCTGACTCCCTCTACCCACAGGACCTGCTGATTTCCTGCCTCGCTTCCCTCCTCCGTGCATCTCCTCTCACAGATCCCCTGAGCGCACACACATCGGCCTCCACACATTCCAGACCGCCCTGTACTCGCACATTCCCTGTATCCCTGGCTCCCTGCATGGATCTCCTGCAGGCGAGACTCCCCCGGATACAGAACCTGTCCCTGCATTCAACACCCCCTCTTCAGGTCTGACCCCTCTGCACGCACAGCCCCCACTGACAATCCAAGTGCATAAAGAACCAACTCCCCCATCTGTTGACCAGAGCCTAAATTGGATTAGACATACAGGATTGGGAAGCTTGAAGAGCCCAGCAGCTGGGGTGGCATGGGACAGACAGCCTGGGCTGCTTGGCAGGATGAGTCTTCAGACTGTAAATAAGTCCCCTGATGTTGGAGTGTCCCAAATTCAGCAGGTCCCATGGAAATAACTAAATCCTCTAGGAAATGAGCTGCAGGAGGACCAGTGAGGGAGGGCCCCTATGAAACTGGCTGTCAGGAAAGCCTGGGAATGGAGGATAAGGCTGGTGAGCCAGCAGGAAGCAAGCAGGCTTGACAAACTCTGTGCCACAGATGGGTTTAATTCTGCAGAGTCAGCATTTCTTGGCGAATGCATCTGTCAGGAGAAATTCTGGCTCCTGTCTTGTCGGAGGCATTCAGAGCACTCTGCTTGGGAAGCAAACCCATGCCTGCAAACCCCTGCTTCCCTTTTCTTTCCCATGGCTCAGTTTTGTTTGTCACTGCCAGGAATTCTAGCAGGAACGGACTTCCGAGCAGTTTCTGTGGTATCATATCTTCTACTGGAACAGGCTGCTGGGACAAACCAAGTACTAAAAAAATGAGAACTTTCAGCTTTGTGGTAACTTGAGAAAATGTAATTCAGACACATTTACAAAACCCCTGTTTTATACAGGCCAAGGAAGTAGATTTTGGTTGGATATTGGGAAGGAATTCTTCCCTGTGAGGGTGGTGAGGCCCTGGCAGAGGCTGCCCCGAGAAGCTGTGGTTACCCCATCCCTGGAAGTGTTCCAGGCCAGGTTGGATGGGGCTTGGAGCACCCTGGGATAGTGGAAGGTGGCTCTGCCCAAGGCAGAAGGCTGGAACTGGATGATCTTTAAGATCTTTTCCAACCCAGATTTGAGATTTTATGATATATTCTCCTCATCCCCAGGATTTACAGCTTCCAGGATTTCTCCCACAGTTAAATTTAACATTATCTGCCCTATTTTTTTTCCTGGAGAGGGTGTATCTGCTGATAAGAAGGAAGAGGGAAGACCTAAGACTCACAGAGGTCACAACCCAGCATGGGATCTGGAGTCATCCCGATACTGCTGGAATGGCTGGGCGGGGACAGCACTAATGACAGGATGCTGTAAAAGGAAGAGGTGACCAGAGCCACCAAGGACCAGTTTTATGTGGTGGGAATTACACCAGGTAAGGAAGGAAGCCCTTCTGAGAGCTTGATGATCCTTTTGGGTCCCTTCCAACTCAGGATATTTTAAATTCTATGGCATAAGCTCATCTCCCACCTCCTCCCCACGGTTGTTGTGTGGGACAGACTCGACACAGCAACGCTGCTGGCAGAGATTTCTGTTCTAGTCCAGCCCACAAAACACTGCCCCGAGTGCTCCAGCCTCTTCTTGCAAGTTTGGAGATCAGTGGAGGACTTTATTGAACCATTGGCTTAATATTGTGAGTGCAAGGCCAAAAAATATTTCTTCGCAAAAAGAAGGGTGAAGCAAGAGAGGCAGCAAGGGTAGAGTCCAGCACCAGGAATGTGGCATGTGCTGGGAAAAGGTGGAGACAGCTACAAAAACACACTTGAGGGAGAAGGAGATAAGGAGGTGGCTGGATCAGAGGGCAAACTGGTGCTGGGGTAAATACTTCATGGTTGTGGCATGCTGGGGAGGAATGGGTGCAGTTAAAATCAGGAAATGGTGAGTGTGACAGGTCCCTTGATGGGTTGGGGCAGCAGAGATGGTGCAGAAATTTAACCTAGACTAACCAGGCCTGCAAGGGTTTGATGTTGAACAGGCACTAGACGAGTTAAAGCTTGTAATTGAGGGTCAGTAAAAGCTTGCTCAGCTTCTGTGGAGCCAGGTGGGACACAGAGAGGTTCTTTCCCCACCACACTTCTGTGTTTGTGTGAGACTTCCTGGGCCTGGCTGTGCACGTAAGGCACCAAAACCCCAGAGGAATTTGCAAATGAGACATTCCCCCTGTTAGTGGAGCAGAACTGCTCAAACAGCTTTCCTCCAATGACACAGGAAGGGGACAAAGACCTTTTTTTTTTTTTTTCCAGCAATTGCATCATGCTCTGGAGTTGGGAATTGTTCAGATTTCTTCCAGAGAGGGTTGGAACTGCTCTGTGACAGTCCTGCCTCACCTGTCAAAACGTGGAGGATCAGTTTGGCAGAGGCCTGGGAGGACATGAGAGAGCAGGAGCCCAGCACCTCCATCCTTCCTGCTTCCTCTCATCCCCAAAATTCTCTTTGTCCGGATCACTTTGCTGCAATATAGTCTGGGCATGAAGGTCCTTCTTTTCCAGGGGCTGGCACAGCCCCCAACACTCCATGGAATGCTAGAGCTGGGATCCCTGGAATCCCTGGAATTCCTGCTTCCACCATCCTGCTGCTCCTGGCTCAATGAGAGGCCTGACTCCATATCCCAGCCCTTCCTCCTCATCCCACCCTGGATGCTTCCCCTCCTGAAGTTCCTCCTGATCTCTCTGGATCAGAGTTGCCCAGAAGACCCTCAGGATCATATTTGGAGTACCCAAGGATGCTCCAGTCGTAGATTTTCCATGGGCAAACCAAGCTGCAGATTATTCTTTGCTGTCTGTGGTGCCAAACAGGTCACTGTCCTCTACCACCTCTGCTGCATCCTGTGCGGAAAAAACTGGGATTTCTCTCAGGTAGCTACTGAGATTCCTGAAAATTCCTGAAATAAAGGTGCCCAAGCAGATATTTGGGCCACACCATTTATTATCTTTTTTATAGATAAAGAAATAAAACCTTTATCTGCCCCCTCCAACCACACCTGCAGTCAGATTGCTGCTGCAATCTGGCTGTCAGGTGGATCAACTTTCACTTCTGGCTGACATCCACATTTCCCTTTCCCTTCTTTCCCCGAGCCTAAGGTGAAAGTGGATTGCTGTCTGATGATGCTCAGCTGGTGTTGGAATTCTCACACTTCCTCCTTCCAAAGTCTGCGTGACTCACCCTCAGCCGTGCTTGTTTTAGGCTTTTGACAGGAAAACAACTGCGACTCTTTAAGAAGAGCTTGTTTCTCAGGCAAAAACTTTAATTTCCTGAGCAGTCTCAGCAGGGCTCTCCTCAGACTGTGCCCGTGGCTCCAGGAACTCCCTTTAAGCTCAAGCCTAACCCTTTAGGCCCTGTAAGTGTCCCTGTCTCCAGCCACGTCCTGGATGACCTTGGCCACGTGCTGGGGTTTGTCTCCATCTGTTCTGGCCTCAGGTTGTGACTTTTAGGGTTGGAATTGCTGATCCTTTTTCTCTTCCAAACCAGGGTATTTCATTATTCTCTTCTCCAGCACTAATCCTTAACTATATCGTGTCCATCCCTGTCTCTAGGCCTAATTCCATCTCCTGGGTGAACTCTGGACTCATTTTATAGCTTTTTTCCCAATCCTGGCCTTTTTTTTGTGCCATCAGAGGTTCTGGACCACCCACAAAATTTTCTGGGCGCCTCCTCTCCCACAACAGGGGCCTCATCTCTAGGGTTTTTGGGGTGGGAAGAGGCTTTTCAGTCCTTTCCCTTAGTCCTTAAACCAAAAAATGCAAATTTCTATGGGCAAGGAATTCACCAGGCTCCAAGGAGGCAGCACAAAAATATGCTGAAGCTGTAGGCAAGGTGATAGACTTACGGAGGTTTGTAGTGGAAATGTTAAACTTGGTGTAAAAAATAGGAATGGGAATGTTCCTGGGTGTGGAAGAACCAGAATAACCAGCAGAGCAAAGGGTAAAAGGAAAGGCATTTGATGGGTGCCTGTGTTCATTCAAAAGTAGAGAAAGAACAAGCTGACCTTGGATAGGAAACTCCAGAGGACTAAGTGTAGGGTGGGAGCCATAAAACGCCGAGGTAAAGTAAACAAAAGGGCTGGAATATTCAGGAATTTCATCTAAAAGGGGAGAAACTAAAGAGAAAGTGAGTAAAGGCAGCATTCTCTCTCCAAAAGCTGTAAAAAACAAGTCCAAAATTGGGGGGTTTTTTTGCTCTGCCTTTCAGCTTTTACCTTCACGTTGTGCTCTCAACCTTAAAGGCACGAGGACAATTGTGGGGCTTTAATCTTTTTTGGCTGCTGGTGGCACAGGAGTGACACAGGCCAGATGATCTGGGCACATGCACACTGGTGCTTGTGATCCAGTGAAATCCACAAGGAAGAGTGTGAAAAGCAAAATCCACTTTCTCCAAGGTTTTTATATTATCTGATATTTATATCAGATATAAAGTCTCTTCTCTCTTCTCCCCGAAGATCTCGTGGGGAGTTTTATTCCTCCAGTTTCCTGTAACAGCAGAAGGGAGTTTCTCATTCCCAGGAGCAGCGTCTGCTCGTTATCTAGTTGCTGATTAACATCTAATTCTGCATCCTGGAGCTG